TTCCCTGGTGGCACAAGGGTTTTAAAGTGCAGTACTATCGAGCTATTCATAGCCACCATAGCATGGGTTCAGTTCCTGGCCAGGAAGCTGACCCGCATGGCACAGCAGACCTCTCCAGTCTCAACAAAAATAAAGTCCTTGACTGCTTGTCCCAATATCTGGGTAATTTATTAATTTGTATTTATACATTTTTAAACTAGTGACAATGGATTGCTTTATCTTGCTTTTTCACTTGATCCTAATTTTTTATTAAATGTTAATATCAAAATAATAAATAAATATACACATAAAACACCACCAGAAACTGGGGTAAAAAATATTAGTATCTGGAAATAGGCAGTGGTATTTTTCTAGTATGCTATTAATATGTGGTGATTTGAACTTTGTGTTTGCTGTTGCTATCATTAATGTCAGGCATTTCAGGTTTTAAATTCCTCCATGTGTCAGACACTACTATGTGGATTAGCAGTGTTGTCTATTGTACCCAGGTATTTTGTTTTTCTGTATTCCTACTTCAGTCTCAGCATTGAAATTCTCTGCTTGCCATACCTCTTTCAATAACTTAGTCTCTCCACCAACAGTGCTCTGCTTTCGATTATTATTCAAAACACTAATTTTGTAATAGGTTAAGGTAGTTCTAGTTGTAATGATCAATCAGAATCTTAGGCATACTTTGTTGTTGAACTTCAGAACTGAAACTTTCTGAGCATTCCAGTCCCTCCTCCACATGGTAACTAAACTGCCTTATATATCCAATTAGTCTTGACAGGCAAGAACATCTCCCTCTCCTTCCATGTATGTAGGTGATCAAAAACCCCTGACAGAAAACTACAGGATTGTAATGTTTTTCCTCATCAGTAAAGGGATGATTTCTTCACCTAGTAAAAAAGTTCTTCACCAGTAAAACCTCTCCCCCAGAAACTTTGTTGCTCTCTGTTGCTGACCCCAAAGCAAGAGAACTATGCCAAATTTCAAGGTAACAGAAGGCGTTCTGCAACTCTGAGTAGATTCATTTCCCTAACCACCAACAATCACCTTAAGGCTTTTGGTTATGAGAGAAGGATCCACAAACGTGGGCAGGGCTTCATGCCTGTCTCCAGACAGAAAGGATATGCACTTTCCTGGCGCAGCTTCAGTATTTTCCTTGAACATCTGGTTGCTGTTGTTGATGTAAAAAAGCTCACAAATGACTGAAAACTCTCCTTGTGTCTTAAGACTCCCGAATATTCCAAACTTATAGGCTAGCTCATAGATGGCCTTTAAGAATTTGTTAAATCCTAACTGACACTCTTCATTCTCCTGCAGGGTAGTCACCTCTTTCCCCTGTGCACTGTCAAAGCTCATCTCATCCTGGAGGGGCTTATCATTTTCGAGAATCTTGAATCTCTCAGTTGTGAAAAAGTATGTCTTTGTACATAATCTGACTTTTTCACTATTATAATGGTACTCCGAAGAACAAGTAATAATAGAGCTAATCACTGAATCTAAAATGAAAATAATTCTAAATTTATCTCCAAATCCATTAATTGAATTAAATAATTTTTAACATGTAAAGTTAAACAGAAATTCATTAAGATTTATATAAGCCCTGGAAAATTCCAAGCTGTTACATGGCGTTACATGACAGCTTAAATGCTACTACCTTGGTCTCCATTACAGCTAAAATGCAAGGCAGGAGGAAACTTTATACTGTTTTTGCTTTGTTTTCCAGAAAGATGTAATAGAGAAAGATGTGGCACCAATCTTCTCCAATGTTCACACTTTTGAGGTAAGCTTAATATCTAAAGTATTAGAAAATTTCTCTTCAGAGTCTGTAATACATCAAATATTTCCAAAGGTTTCTCAGAAAATAGCACATTAAATGACATCACAACATTTTTTAATGACCTAAAATCATGGAATGCAAGTAAACTTAGGGTAATCTAGCTCAAACTTTATGTAATACAAAAATTTTCTCTGAACATTTCTGAACTGCTTCATATCTATAATGTGCAGCAACTCTCTATTTCAGTCCAGTCTACTTCATTTTTGAACAAAATAATTTTCACAAAGATTTCTGAGCAAAAGTGAATGCCACTAAATTATCAACCTTTTGCTCTAATTTATCATTCTAGAGTTACCTGCAGTAAATATAACCCTTGAAAAAATCAACTACTTGAAATGTTTCCTTTTTCTTTTTTTTTCCCCAAGCTTAATTCTCCTAATACAAGCAACTATCTCTGTTTTATTTCCACTTAATTTTAGTCCTGTGGACTTGTTTCAGCACTCAATGTGCTCATTTTTGAAACCCTAACTTCCTTTCCATCATCCAGATGTTCTAAAGATTATATGTCAAATTTTCCTCCACCCTTGAATCTCACCCGAGATAGTCACATTCAGAATTTTGGCCAGTTATGACCTATTTGAAATTAATCAAAGTCTAGCTTTGGTGTCTTTTGAAATGTCTCATTCTATTGGTGTCTTTTGAAATGTCTCATCCTATTGCATTTTATGTCTGTGTCTGCAATAAGCCTCAAATGGTGGAGTGTCAACCATCATAGGATTTGTATATTTTAGGCTAATTACCCCCCTTCTACTTGTGTGTGTGTGCATGTGCATACAGCACACACACACACACACATACTTCAACATGCATAGGCACATGTGTGTACATTTTGTATATTTCAGGGTTACAAAAGTGTTTCTATATAGCAGTTTTGCTTTTGCCTGGCTCAAAAACAATCACCATATGAGGGCACAATTTTAGCACAAATTCCTGGTATGGGCAGTATCAATTAGTACATGCCACAGGTACACACAACGCAGCCTGTCAGTAAGGTCATGAGTACCGGCCATCTCCCTCAAAAGCTCTTAGTCATTAGGCATTGCTTTTCTTCTCCAGTCTTTGGTAGGTAATAATGTATCCAGTGGCAGGGAATTGTTCAAGATGTTTAACTCCAGGTATGTCCCTTCCAGTTTAGCCACCAATTAGTTTAGCTGTAAAATTTTAGTAAATCTCCCACCGTGATAAACAAACACAAATATTTAAAACTGGGGCCTAACTCTAGTCTGGTATTTCCCCCAGGCCACTGAAGGATCACTACTGAAGTTACTGCTCAGATTTAAAGTTTACATGATCCAGAGATGTAGCCTTCCTTTGACATTAATGTTTACACTTACAATTCTTCTCACAATTCATCCAGTATTTATAAAAGCATGCAGTGTTTAAGTATGTTTATTTGCAGTATCTGTTTTTCCAGTACAACAGTTGCCAGGGCCAGAATTCCACTCACTATATTCCCAATGCCTAAGAGCTATGTCTACTTAGTACCCTTATAAATGCAGTTCTGTTTATGAAAAGAATGCCTAAGTCGCAGTCCCTGCAAAATCTTCCCATACTGCCTATGTTCCCTAGCATAACTAATGGCACCTTTCTTCTTAGTTTTCCTAGTAAGAAATTTCAGAATCATCATAAATTCAACTTATTTGTTAGTCATCCTATTCAATTAATCACCAATTAATTAATTTCTGTAATTACAATATTTCATTTAATATATTCCAGCATCTCAGTGACATCCCATGAATGTAACAGGTATGATTTTTTCAGAATTTTTATCACAATTAAATGAGAAAGTAGAGCAAATAAGTATTACTGCTACAAAGGAGTAAGACCTAAATTACCTGAGTGATACAAATCAACCCAGGATTTACATTTCCAACCAGTAGTATCTTACGGGTTCCCAAACATTCTTTCTACTAAGAATAAAGAATAAAAACCAACAGAGTACCTGATATGTACCTCTCTCATAAATTTTATGACTTTTTCATTTTTATTTTATTAGTTATCTAGGCATATACAGTATCTTATTTCTATTATACACTGAAAAATCTGTATGAATGGAAAAACATCAGTTCAAAGGTAATTTTAAAATGTAGCCCTTTTCCTCTCATTTCAGAATTTATAAAGTCACATAAAAGAGGTATTGGCAACATCATAAAATATTCTGCTTTTCCATGAAGTAAACAAAATAGCATTCTCTGAATGTAATGTGATTTTTGTCTTGTAATGATAACATTTTGTTAAGAAAGTAACCTACTCCTTTTGTGTTGTGGATCCATATTTTTATATGACAAAAAATGAAATAAACCACTTGATATAAGCCATTCTAACCATACACTGATAAAGAGCTGACATGTTTAGAAAAGTTATCACTATTAATGGTATAGGTAAAGTAGTTAAAAATATGGTAGAGTGAAAAATGATATCCATGCTATTAATGAAAAAAATAATTTCTTGACATAATTAATGGTAGTATATTGAAAAGTGCATGGTCAAAATCAGGCTGATTTTTTTTTTAATGAAAGCTATTTAAGAATATATACAACGCTGAAAAAGAGATTAAGTTTCGTATGTGACCATAAAATCTGTACCATCATCTCAAGTGCGGTAAGATGAACTTTGATTTTAAGAAGAATTAGTTTCTACTGAGGACTAAACTTATCTCAGGGATTGCTGAAATAGCAATCACTTAAAAAATAGTATAACCAAATAATTCCTAAATTCTGCAACATCAAATGTGGTGGTCCCAAATTTGTTCTGAAATTTGAGAATCTGATTGTTAATATTCTTGCCTCCTGTACACTGCTTACAAAAACAGTTGCACCCTGAAACTCCACAGGGTCTACAGTCAGTTACCCTGTTTTCAGAAAACTCCCCTCTTCCACTCCCACTCTACCTAGTCTACCCAGTGCTCACTCTTTTTCACTCTCCCTTTTTTCATTTTATTTCAGATAATAGAAAGTTTATAGGTACAATATTAAGAGTCCTTCTCTTGAGCATTCATTCTATACAAACTGTATGGTCACGCCATAGGAAAAACCGTGTTGGATTCTTCCTTATATATGGGAGTATATAACCATCATTTATTCTACTTTCTTTTCATGCAAAGAGCAAGTTAAAAGTTAAATTAGCATCCCATTGTTTTCAGCAAACTGGAAGAAATTAATCTTGTCATCTACAGAAAAACGTGGATTATATTTTTGAAGATGTTAAAAATATATGCAATGTTCTGGGGTGTGTGGAAACTAAACAAATCACAGATGCTGTACATGAATTAAATCTAATTCTTCAGAGAAAAGCAGAGGTAAATATACGCATTTATTACAAAGTAATTATTTTGAACCTTAGCTCAATAATTAATTAAGGAGTGTGAAATACTTTTGATTTACTAGGTGTGCTTGTACACATATGTATTTCAATCATTTGGGGGATAATGGAAACTTGATTCTATCATACCAAACAAATTTAATTAAAAGGAAAAACTTTATACCTTTGAAGTTATAGCATAGCTACAAACTTTGTCTAGCTAGCTATAACTTACAAGTAACACAAAGCAATTCTACAATCCTACTTTATTGAAAGTGCTCGTATAATAATATTCACAGGCAAGTTTTATACAGACTGTTAAGGGCCTTCATGCCCACCATCTTATCAAGTGTAGGTATGTTCGCTTGTATGAACAAACACCTCATAGACAAGAAAAGATGAGAGGTCTTTCTGGTATCTTTGCTGAATTTGCAATGCACATTGCTTCTTTAATCCTTATTCCTGTAAGTATTTCCTGCTTTATTTTCAGTTTAAAAAGTATTATGTGATTCCTTTAAATCTCAGAAATCTGAGGTGTGATTATTCTCCAAGAAATAGATTAAGAAATACGGTCATGATGAAGCTATTCAATCTTGCTATTAGATTAAGTACTTAAACAGAAAGCTAGTATGATAATGATAACAATGTATTGCAGTAACAAAGTAGTTTCACATATACAGTACTTCATTAAACATAATTTTTATATTACCTTAATTTATCCTCACACAAATCCATGAGTTACTATTTTAATGTTTATTTCTATTATTAAACTCTAGTGCTTTAAAAGCTTCTGTTTAGAAGATGAATAAGCACCAAAGGACAGGTTGGAATTTAGGCCTCTACACACATTCCAGGATATGTGTAACTTCTTAAGAGAGTGTGATTTATTTCATTATTTGCATGGAAAGGAGCAGCAGAGATTATATTGCCATGAAATCTCAACCTTAAAATTTCAAATGTGCACTTAGAAAGTGGGCAATCATAGTAATATATTTAAGTCATTGTACTTCCTGTTTCAAATCAGTGACTATAAAAAATTTGTCAGCATTGGACTTTTTACAGCTTATTTTAACATGATGAGGTAATATCATGAATATGGAAATATAAATATTTATTTGCATGACATTAACAGAGGTAATGTTGAAACTGAAAGCACACTACCAAAAGATAAGATAAATGTTCATTAAAAATTAAAAACAGGCCCTCCCTGGTGGCGCAGGCGCAGCGCAGCGGGTTAAAGCACTGCACAAAGAAGCTTAAGCCACTTCCGCAAGAGTTCAATCCCCCCCTCCCCCCTATCCCCGCCTACCCAGGAGGTGATCACATGGTGTGGCAGACCTCTCCTGACCCGCCCACTGCTCCCCTCAGCAGTGAACTTCGTGGATCTGCCTGTTCTGTTCCCCACTCAGTCTCTGGTGAATGCTCTCACCCTCCACATCTCTGGCCTGTACCCGAGTTCTATATGAATAAATAAATAAATCTTTAAAAAAAAATTGAAAACATAGGGGCTATCCCTGGTGGCACAACCAGCTAATACATCGCATTATGAAGCTCACTGAAGTCACTGCAAAACAAGTTCATTCCCCCGCCAGGGAGCTGACCTACATGACATGGCAGACCTCTAATGACCTGCTGCTGCTCCCCTCAGCAGTGTATTTCAGTACATCTGCCTGTTCTGCTCCCCACTCTGTCTCTGGAGAATCCTCTCACCCACCATACCTTTGGCCTATACCCCAGTTCCATAAGCATAAATAAATAAAATCTTTTAAAAAATTAAAAACATAAAGCAATGAAGAAATCAAAATTTGAATAACATATTCAATACCTTTTCAAATTCAATGACCAAGGAGATGGATCTAGCTACTTCCCTGACATTTTCTCAATGAGGAAATACCTGCTATTATACCTTCCAACTACAGCAGGAAATAAAATGATTACATATTCTTCAATATTGTTTTTGTGAGTAGTTGTTAAGAACCATGATCTCCACAAATGAGGTAATAAGAAATCTGATGTGCTCACAATGTAATCTGGCCAAAATTTTCTATTTTGTGTCATAGTGGGAAAATTATACTACAGTCTGGAAAAGCACATCACCAATATGTTTTGAAAATAATTATTTTGATAAATTCAAGGACCTGGTAAATTTATATGATAACAAGAACCTCCTAGCAACTGAAGTTAAATGAAAATTAACTTTCAACAAGCAGTTATGCTCTCTCAACTATGTTTGGGGGCACTTCAAGCACATAGAAACACAGAATTTCCAGAGCTCTTGTAAATTTGAGTAATGTAAATAAAGGGTGTAAATTATAATGTAGCATGAATGGGTCATTATTATTCCTGGAGATAGTGGGAATGGTGTCTTTTAATTCACACAAGCACCACTTAGCTCCCATTACACCAGGGTCACTGGTGACAGTCAGCCTTCTAATAAATGTAAGCCTCCCTCTGAAGAGGAGACCAGATGTGTGAGACTGGACACATGTCTTCCCATCTGTTAAAACTGCTAAGTTATTCTGCAACTTTTTTTACTAGCTCTCAGAGAATCAGTATAAATAAACTGATCTAAGAATGAGAAATGTCTAATCTAGCACTTCAGATAATGTTAGAGTATTAGTAGATAATAAAAGCTTTATTTTTAAAACATTAATTTCCAAATTTTCAAAAAGAACAAAAATAACAAGTTTCTCAGATAACTCAATACTCAATACATTTGAGGTCAAAGAATCTTTCAAGAAAAAACTGAGCATTTCCTAGGAATATAAATTCCTAGGAATATAAATTCTTATACTTACATTTTATATTTTATATAAAATGTGCTTGTGAGAACTACATTGTGCACGATCTTTCATGCACACAAATGAAGAGCTGACAGTGACTGACTTTTACATGCACCAATACCCAGAAAGTTTGATATTCCAACAGATTCCACACATTATCAATTCACTTATTCTTGTCTTCTTCATTTACACTCTATGTTCATTTCCTTTTCCATACTACATTGTGAGCTCATCTATACAGGAATGTTGGCACAGAGAGTAAATATATTTTGCATACTTTGTACAGTAAACAAACTGCAGTTAACAATGGTAAATCAGTTCAATCTACTGAACATGCACCTAAAAGTAAAGAACAACTGAGAATTATATGAGTCTTATACCAACAAATTCTGAAATTTCAAAAACTTTCCTTGGCTACATTTTAGGTTCACTTGCAAGAGGCTACTTCCTGCAATACAGAGAAATAATTAGTTATTTATTAAATGGAAGCTTGGGAAGATGAAGGGTTGTATCACACATTAAGTTTTACTCTAGTTCATGTTCCTATTCAGTTACTGGAAACAATTTTCATCCTTCAAAATTATATTCCAGGAACTCACATAATATACTTCCATTAAATGCTCACATAATAAATGAATCACAAAGTGAAAGATAAGGCATTACACATTGTGCTATAGGTGAAGGCCATGGTGATTTTTACATACAAGTTACTATTTCCGAGTAAACTGAAATATAGTTAAGTCTGGATAATGTCTTTATGCCTGTATATGAGGTAATATGAGTAGCTGTGAAGCCTAGAGGTTAAAACTATGCTAAAATGAAATATTTAACCCAAGAGAAATGTTTTTGAAAGCTCATGTAAACAATCTTTTTAAGTGAAAAGTTACATATAAAATAACAGGATTTTACACAATAGAAATCTCTCTCTAAACTAATACAACAGCAAATTCTTTGTTACAGGAAAAGTTATAGGTTAGTTTATTTGTATGAGATCTTGAACTTGGTTTTCCTTAAAAGTAAACTTGTGGGCCCTCCCTGGTGTCGCAGCGGGTTAAAGCACAGCATTGAGAAGATAAAGCCACTTCAACATGAGTTCAATCCCAGCCCCAGCCCCGGAGGTGACCCACATGGTGCGGCAGACCTCGCGTGACCCCCCTGCTGCTCCCCTCAGCAGTGTACTCATCAGTTGGCCTGTTCTGCTCCCCACTCTGTCTCTGGTGAAGCCTCTCACCGCTCCTGCACCTCTGGCCTGTACCCCAGTTCTGTATGCATGAATAAATCTTTAAAAAAAAAAGTAAACTTGCAAAGCCTAATTTCTAAAAAAAATAGTGTCAATTTAAATGAATTTTACTATAAAACCAAATTTACTTTTGGATTCAGACATTATTTTTAATGAACTGATGATCACCCTTAACCCTAGTCTTCCAACAAAGGTAAACGCACACACTCACAGCTACCGTACTACTAATGGATATGAAATTAAATAACAAAAAGTCATATAGTTTATTTTTTAATCTAGGACATGATTCAAGTCATATTATCTTTCTCAGCTTTTTCAATCTTCTAAAAATAAGAAAATGAAATGATACAGTAAACCTACAGAATTTTGCCCACTTCATCTGTTTTTTCAGTGCTGCCTGAAGCTGAACCTGACTGACTGCTAATAAGTATTAACAGCTATTGATATATAATCTGCCCATTGAAACTTATTTAGTGTTATAACCAAGGTTACTTCAGCAACAACCAAAACAACCAGACACGCTAATCAAAGCATTAGAAATGCACCTATACTATGGAAAAGGGTCTAAGTTAAGGCAATATCTATAGAACTGTTCCAGTAAAACTAAAAAGATGACAATATGTAACAGCAAAATATACTTGTCTTTTTATCATGTCAGAGAAAAGTCATTGTTTAGATATTGGATATGATTGGTTTATGAATTTGTGAATTTTTTTTTTCTGAGTAACAATTTTGTCTTTGTACCCACTTATCTTTTTCAGAAATTCTATCAAAATCCAGAGCTGTCACTGAAAGGTAAAACATATGGACACATTTTTTTTTTTTTAAGAAACAAGTTTCAGGACCCAAAAGAATTTAAAACTTATGATTCATATCCAAAAGAATTTAAAACTTATGATTCATATCCAAATCTTAACAGTAACAAACACAAATGATACTTCAGCGGAAAACTGAAAGGACCCTCTCAGTTCTGCTAGAACCCTTTCCCTGGTGAAAGTAATTATTCTACAAGTGAATAAAACTCCATACTCTATAAACTTAAAGATGTGGGATATTTTTTTAAATGAAGAAGGTCAAGATATCTTAAAAATAAATAAATAAAGGAATACAGAATATATCCTTAGAGCCATACAAAAAGAACATGTAGTTTTGTGATTCAGTAATTTGTATTTTGATCTACAAAAAGGACATATCTTTCTTCAAAGTCACTAATTTCTATTTTAAATTCAAACTCTACTTGTAAGACTAATCTATCTTATCACGCGGGATGGTTATATTTTTGTATAATTAGTGTTCACAGAGGCTCTAAACCTATAGACTGTAAAACACAGGAGGACTTTGCCTCTATACAAAACATGTGTTAGCAGAGTCTGACTTCTGACATCAAGCAAAGTCTGTTCAGAATTTCAGCTCTGCCATTTTTTGACTCTGTGATCTTTGACATTTAAACTCTGTGATCCTAAGCTCCCTCACATGAATAAAAGATAAGACAATAGTGTAGCATGTATGATGGTTGTGCCAATTTCCATGAAAAAAGATTCAGAGAAGTTCAAACTAATACCCCTGGATTCAGAGGTGACAATAAAGAACAAATGAAACTCAACCTGCCCCCCATTTCCTTTCAGTAAAAAGCTATATATAAAGGAATATCCTATCAACTCTAAATCTACGACTCAAAAGATTTAAATATATCTGAGACTCCCTTCTTTATGTTGAGAGGAAAATGTGTGGCAGAGGAAGTGGGATAGTGTGAAAATCTCTTTGAAACATTCATAAAGTTCCAGAACATCACTGAGTAAGGAAAGAAACTGAACACTCCTTAACAACATAATACAAAATCCACGAGTTAGAAAGAAGAATATGAAAGCTGAAGCTCCACCAATATGAACTAACACTATTTTTTCCCCTCATTGTTTTCTTTTTCCTGTTGAACCAAGTTTTCAAACTCCATTTTTGACAGAAGCTGGGATGTGACACCCCACAAAACTGCAAGCTCATATTCTATGCTAGACAGATTCTAATTACTGCTTCTTAACACCATGTATGTAGTCACTTTATTTCATGATACTGTAATTCTTAACCCAGATTAAAGTCAGGCTAAGACTGTCTTGTTAGAATCAAGTTAAGACTGTCAGGTTAAGAATTGTCTTGGCAATTCACCAAAATGCCCTATCTACTAATTCCATCATACATTTCTTGTACTTGAAATGCACTGGTTATCCAGAGTTATTGAAGTAAGCCATACAGGTAAGTACACAGCTCTGTTGTATCTTGAAGAAGCAAATTACCACCAAGAACTATATTTCTGCACAAAAAGCAAAAAGGATAGTTTGAGTAACTATCTAAATAATTAAGGATGCCCCTTAATGTGCTGGAGCTGGAATTTGTAAGATTTCTAACACAAGTTCTTGATTGAAATGTATATTCATTTGCACATGACTAGGAATTATTAACAAAAGCTTTGTATTAAGCTAATTATTATTAGCTTTGTATCAGAGTACCAACAGTACACGTTAGGGATTGGGAAACAAGATGTTTCTACAAATTTGCATTTCTCTCTCCCACTATTGAGGAGAATCCTAGTTGGTTGACTTCCAGAGTTGGATGAGGCCTCTTTTCAACTATTTCTATGCTGTTTTACTCTTCTGTTCCATTAATTGCTACTGCTCATTACTCAGAGAAGCTTAATGAAAGCTCTTTTAGTCTGTCTCATCCCCTCTAGCTGTTTCAACAAAAGGGCACAATTGAAGAAATAAGATCAAATAAGAAAAATTTGCCTATCTTATAAATTCTGTACATATTTATGAATAACTAAGTGAATAATAGCATGTCTTGAACAACAGCAACGAAATGTTTAGTTGTAGATTGTGCTGCAGAGGGCCAGAAAGTGAGCAGCTGATCTGTAGGCTGCATGGGAAAAAGCTCTCTGTATTATTTTATTTCAAAACAACAAAAATAAATAAATAAATAAACAGATCAAAAGGCCACTTTTGTTGCAGAAACATCTTATTAGGAAATGCAGGTGTTTGAATAAATAAAATAACACTGTGACTTACTGAGCACATGCTCATCATAATGCAGTGCCCTTCGTAAGAACACAATATATAAAGAGGTGCAAATAGGAACCTCCCAGGTGGCACAACAGGTGAAAGCACAAAACTAGCCACAACCACTTCAGCACAAGTTCGATTCCCCACCCACAACACAGCCACCCTCTGCTCCCCTCAGCAGTGTACTTCCTCTATCTGCCTGTTCTGCTCCCACTCACTCTGATGAGCCCTCTCGCCGCCCCTGCACCGCTGGCCTTTACTCTAGTTCTGCAAGCATAAATAAATATTAAAAGAGAGAGAAAGAGAGAGAGAGCGAAGTGCATACAGTTCTCTGAGCATATCCTGGCCTAAGCAGCGCTCTCCTGGGCAAGTGTTTTTAGAAGAGGTGCCAGGGGGACGCAGGGCTGGGAAACCAAGCGACAGCACCCCAGAAGCCCCCTAGAGGCAAGGGATACTGCCCCAGACTGCCCCCAGATACCCCTGTGTACAGGAACGCCTATGTAAGAGTAGCATGGAAACCAGAGAACTAACGCCCGGGCCCTACACTTGCAAGCCACTCACGCCTTCCCACCCGCCATCTGGAGAGAGCCACTCGACCCCAGGTCGTGCACAGGCTGGCGCAATGAGTCTGCAACTTACAAGCTTGAAGTAGGAGTTGAGTCAAATATCTGTTCCTCTGTGACCCACACCATAGAAAACGCCGGGTCGCCAGCCAGGTCCTGCCATCTGCCACAGGTCCGCGAGCCCGGCACAGTCCGGCCGAAAGCGCCCTATAGCATCTGCTGCCGCCTCCTTTCTCGCCGGAAGTCCCGACCGACTGTGAGCACCGACCGGCAGAAACAGACCCGGATGCTGCGCTTTCCGGAAACACGTGCTTAGGACAGAAGCCTGAGATTGGATCCACCTGCTGTGCCAGGGTCCCGCTGCTTCGTGTGCCTGGCGATGCAGGTTGATTCAAAAGCTGCTGTCTCGGCCCTCCCTGGTGGCGCAGAGGGTTAAAGCACAGCACTAAGAATCTGAAACCACTTCCGCATGAGTTCTATTCCCGCCTGTCCCGGAGGTGACCCCATGGCGCCGCAGACCTCTCCTGACCCGCCCGCTGCTCCCCTCAGCAGTGTACTTCATAGAAGTGACTGTTCTGCTCCCCACTCTGTCCCTGGTGAATTCTCTCACCATCCGCATCTCTGGTCTGTACCCCAGTTCTGTATGAATAAATAAATAAATCTTTAAAAAAAAAAAAAAAGCTGCTGTCTCTCCTGAGCATGGCCCTCTAGGCAGAGTGGCCCAGGTGGTGGGCTGGCTCCGAGCCAAGTAGCCCTGAGGCCCTCTTACGACTTTGTGTTCAAGCCTCCTGACTGGGTCCTTCTCCCCTCCTTGGGTCTGTTCTAGCTGAGGCAGGACCCCAGATATTCCCTCTGATGAGCTGTAACAGGCTACATGAGTGATACTTCCTTTCCCCAGTCCCAGACCCCAGAAACAGAAATATCCAACACTGTGCTATGTCCACACTCCCTGTGGTCCAGTGTGAAAAAGGGAAACATTCACATAGACCAGCCTGTTCTGTTCACGCAGGACTTTCTTGTTGCTGTTCATCTACCAGAAAATGTGGGAGCCCTGTTTCAGCACGAGACCTGACAGCTGCCAACCCTTAAGGGACCCAGGCAAATAATGTACCCACGGTTTTTTGGTCAAGACCACAGTAGTCTTTTGTCAGCCCTCTTCAAGGCTCGGCCAACAGGGATTCAGAGGAGAATGCCAGTTTCCACTCATAACGTATTTTGTTTCATACATTCTTTTCAAAACTCAAAACTTGTCAGCTAGAGATTTTCCTAATTGTGTGAAAAAAAAGAAACTTTGTGCTTTTTGAGTTTGTTCTCTTTGTAAAACACTGTTAGAGTTGAATATTAAAAGCAATTGCAAGTAGTGAGCACATTATGATTATAGTCTTCACTCATCTAGAACGACATATAAATAGAGCATCCATTGGCCCTATTAAGATTTTCAGCATCCTCATAATAAGCTTCTCATCGTAATAGTGTCACTGCTTCTGATTTGGATCTAAGTCCATCAATCTTTCTGGTCCATTTCATCAGTCTCCTCTGATTCCTGGCAGGTAGGAGGTGGCTGTTTTTGTTTTGTTTCCAAGCAAAGAGAGTTTACTAGGAGAAAGGAAGCCACTTCTAGGAAAATTTCCCTTAAATGTGATGATTAAGTAACCCCTTTCATACGGTCTGCTATATATTGGTATGACTTCACTTAGAACCCACTTGAAATCCTATTAGTCCTTTATGTAGTAATTTTTCTCCTTTTATGTCAAGTCATTTTTAGAATACTCAGACTCCCTTTTAATAACTAATGGCAAAACTCAAGTAAGGCTTTGATTATGAAGAACTTTGGTGAACATCATAAATCTTTCACTTCAAGCTTGTTTCAGATCGTTGTCATTACTATTAGTGTTCATTTTTAATAGTAGCACAATGTATATGATTGTGTCCAGTTAATGGTGGTTATTATAATGTAAGTTTATTATGATTAATTCTTTAGATGAAATTTGTCTGAAGTACTTACAAATCATGCATAAAACATGCACTTCATCTGAAAATTATTTCTAAATGATCATAAACCAGAACGAAATACACTGCAAATTACAGTTCATCAGAATGCCAAATTAATAATCCAGACTTGATTTGTGATTAAAGGCCATGTTCCTAAATTCCTCAACTGAAGATATGAAAGCTTATTGACTATCTACTACAACAAACCAAAAGTGCATACGGCTGCACAGATGTCTAATTGGCTTCAGTTGGTAGAGTCATTTTAATTAAATTTAATTTAAATTGCATTATAAATAATTTCAAACCTGTAATTGATGGTTTATGATAAATATGAACTTTGGGAGATGACCTGGTTTCTCTCCTCTTTTTCTCCCTAGGCTTAATAAAGAAAGTGACAATGGAACTGTCCAGATCCATCTACCAGTTAATTGATATGTATTGCAGCAGTTTTTGTGCAGATTTCCAGCCTCGATATGCACCTGCTAGTATCTCCTATGTAAATCCTGGCCTCCATTCCCACCTCAGCTTCACAGTGTATGCAGCTCACAACATTCCAGAGACCTGGATGCACAGGTAGGTGAATTTTTCATAAAAGTACTAAAGTTTTACATAGCTTCTAATTAGAGTATAATTTGTCTTGGCTACTAGAGCTAAAGTTTCCTAAAATGTTGGAATTTACTTAGGATAGATCTGTTGTTCTAAGAATCATTATTAAAGCATGATTCCCAGTGTGTATCCCTTCCCCTAAATTCTTCACCCATTCTCTATTTTAAAAATAACTGCATGTTGTCATTATCATATATGTCATTATATAGAAAGATAAAAATATCTCTATATTATTATGGAAACAAAATATGCTCAACCTACTTAGTGATTTACCTAATATTTTGTTTGACTTAAATGAATTAATAGAAAAGAGAGAAAGACAAAAATATGAATATATATTCTGCTGCTGTTGGGACAGAATGTTTGCGTAATTCTGTTAGGTTCCTTAGATTTATAGTATTGTTTAAACCCTCTTCTCCTTATTAAACGTCTATGTGGTTGTTTATTTCCATTACTAAAAGTTGAGGATCTACTATTATTTCTACTATTATTTTGTTGCTGTTTTTTCTCTTCAAATCTGTCAAATTTTGCTTAAATATCTTCTTCAACTTGAGATGCAAATATATGTACAATTGTTCCATCATCTTGATGAATTCACACCTATATCAGGTTCCTCTTAGTCTCTTATCACTGCTATTTTATAAGATATATTTTATTTTTTTATGCATACAAGAACTGTGATCTATGCCAGAGATCCAGGGAGTTAGAGGATTCACCAGAGACAGAGTGGGGACCACAATAGGCAGACTGACTGGAATACACTGCTGATGGGAGCAGCAGGCAAGACAGGAGAGGTCTGCTGTGCCATGTGGGTCACCTCCCTAGCTGGGGATCAAACTCATGCTGCAGTGGCTGGTTACAGCTTTGTCTGGCAGTAGCTCACTGAGACTTAACTCCTGCCACCTAGAAGACCCTCTTAAGACAGTTGTGACTTGTTATATAACTTTGGCCACCCTTGCTTTCTTTTGATTACCATTTGCATAAAATATCTTTTTCTGTCTTTTCACTTTCGGACTCTATGTCTTTTGAAGAACAAGTATTGTTGGATTTATGTAATAACATGCATTGATCTTTTTTTTTTTTTTTTTTGTGTGTGTGTGTGTGTGTGTGTGTTTCTATCTTCTTAGGTAGACATTTTCCTTTTGCTAAGCATGGACTTTATGGCATGCTTATATTTAAAGCACTGTTTTAAACTGCTAATAATACCACATATATAAAATTCTACTCTTCTTCTACTCACTACACTTATTGATATCACATACTACATATTTTATATTTTTCATACTTCTAAAATTATAGTTTTTTTTTGTACTACATCCTCTTTAAATTCTATAGCAGAATTAAAACACAACCATTACAGTTTTGTATCTTTCTGTACATTTCCTTTACTAGAGAGCTTTATATCTTGAAATACTTAGAGGTTACTATTGAAAGTTTTTTCATTTCATCTTGAAGAACTCCCTTTAACTGATATTCTATAAGCCAGATCTAGTGGTGATGAACTCCCTCAACTTTTGTTTCTCCAGGAAAGTATTTTTCCTTCATTGTTGAAAGTTGGTTTTGCCATATATAATATTGATTGACAACTTATCTTCATAGCTTTGAATATATCATATTGCTCACTTGTGGTCTATAAAATTCCTGCTGAGAAATGTGCTGCTAAACTTAGGAGATTCTTTTTTGGATGCTGGATCACTTACTTCTTGATACTTCCCAAGTTCTATACCTGTCACTTTTGATAGTTTGATATTAGTGTTTTTATGTGATCTTCAGCTCAGCTAGGTTTTTAACATTGGGTACTTGAACTTGTATATCCACTTCCTTTCCCATAAATGAGAACGTTTCAGCCATTATCTCTAAAGATAAACTTTCTACCTCTTCTATTCTCCTCTGGGACTTACACAATGATGTGTATGTTTGTCTGGTTAATGGTTCCCTTCATTAGGTTTCTTTACTCTTGGGTTTATTTTTATCTGACTGAATAATTTCAAATCACCTATTTTAAGTCCACTGGTTCTCTCTCCACCTTGGAAAATCTGATGTTGAATCTTCTCAGTGGGTTCATTCTATTCAATTATTATATTCTTCAATTCCAAGATTTTTTACTTTTTTTTAATATTATCTATTTCTTTGTTGATATTCTCATTTTATTCATACAGCATCTTCCCAAGGTGGCTGAACACTTTTATAATGATTTTTTTGTATGCTGTGTCAAGTAATTAATATCCTTTCATTTCTTTAATTTTGTTTTGAGATTGATTTAGTCCTTCTGTTGGACAGCATTTACCTCTTTCTTCCTGTGTCTTGTCACTTTATGTTGGAATCTTTGCATTTGAAAAGAAAAAAAACAAAAACAAAAACAACAACACATGTCTTCCAGTATTTAAAGATTGGTTTCATTTAGAAAAAGAATGTCACCAATGAGCTAAAGAGTCTAGAGGTCCTACAAACCTTTTTGCCCATTATGTCTGGACTTGTGTGCGTGAATTCCCAATTAGAAAGGTTTCGACTCATTAAGAGTTCATAATGTCTTATCTCCTACAGTGTCTGTGGTATTCCTGGTTCTCTAACACTATTGAAAAACTGCACAGCTCTTATATACTCTCACCTACTGCCAAGCATCAGAGTAGGGTGAGTCCCGTCCCTGCTCTCAGTTTCATGAGACAGGTTGTCCCTCATGAAAGCTGTCTAAAAAAGTCAGAAAGTTGAATGTATGATCCACACTTTCCCTACTTTCTCCACCAATAGAGAGGCCAACAAGCCTGATGTCCTACAGATCCTTTGGAATAGCAATAAATGTCCCGGCTCTTTTGTCTTCAGCAGCCCATGGTCCCCAAGCATCTAGAAATTATCATATCCTGTCCATTCCCTGAGATACAGGAATGACAGAAACTAGTCTTTCAGGCAGATAACATTGGACACACCCTCCAACCCTCTCTCTCCCAAGGGAGTAAAGCCAATATATGAGAATTTTCTCCTATTTATTTTGCACTGTACTGAAAGGAAAGACGGTGGTGAATGAGATGTGTTCCAGTCTTCTGACGTTGGGAGTTCCTCCTGAACACATTATGGGCTTCTGAAAGGTGGTATCTAGAAAATCAGTACAATGAGTTTTCCAGTAGCTTTCTGTGCCATGAAATTCCATGGGGGTGCAGGTGCCCCTCACCTTGTTTCCAGATTAGGCATTGATCTGTATGGTTTTGTTGAATTTCTGTATTTATGGAGGGAAGGAGGGTCTGGGCTTACTATTCTTCTATTCTGCTGATATCATCAAAATAAATTCCTTAGTAACTTTAAGGCACACTTTATACAAGCAAATATCACTTTATCATTTGACTTTTAACTATAAAAATGGTCTATATAGAAAACTTTCTGCCATCATGTTTCATTTATTGAATCAATGTTGTTTCTTTTTAGCTATAAAGCATTTTCATTTTCATGTTGGCTTACATATGCTGGAAAAAAACTGTGCCAAGTAAGAAACCGAAGAAACATTCCAGTCAAAAAATTATTCTTTTTCTTGGTCAACTGGAATGAAACGTAAGTTTAATCTTTAATCTGTCAGAACCATTTATCTTATAAAGGCAACACTTTTCCCTTTTTTTTTTTTTGAGTAAAGATATGCTTTAAAAAGAGGTTGCCAGTTGATTTCATTCAGTGATGTGATAAATATACTAATGCTGTAGATAACTGATTAAAATAAAAACCTAAATTAGTGACCAACTTACATTTAACTGATCAAAGGGGAAAACTAGAATAAGGAGTTATTTATAGGTTATGGATATAAGAAACATACTGTATTTGGGCTTAGATGGAGATAAATTCCAGATACAACAAAGTCAGTTAATAACATATAATATCCATTTCCCACAAGTGCCAATTGCAAATTTACTTAAAATAACTATCCACAGACTTTGCAAAATACCATCTAACTTGGGATGACTGGCTCTAAGGTTCCCTTTTTATACAACTAGATCAAGAAAGAAAGTATCTTCTTATCATGAACCTCTCTTCTCCTCCCTCCTGCACCTCTTCAAGCTTATCCTATATTCAGACATGCAGGGTGTTCTTTGACTCCACCTATGGCACTTTCATGGTTTACTGCTTCTTTTCCTTGGCAGGTTCTATGATACTACTCCTTTATTTTCAGTCATTGAATTGTTCCACAAGCAGTCAATTTCCCTCCCATCTGAAATGAAGGAAAACTTCCCAGTTCATCAGGTGTTTCAGAAGATTTCACTCTCCTGGGAGATAATGTCATTCCACTATTGTGCTTTTGATAACCAGGTGCCACAATTTCTAGGTGTCCAAGGATGCTGTTAAATAGCATCATCTGATTTGCTCTTACTGTTATCATAGTTAGTAAAGACTACCCTGAGACATGACATGTGGCTTCAATTTTTACATGCTCAATGGTTCTTCCCATTCCAAAGCAAATCCTCCTTCTTCTAGGGCTGTAATAACATTTATCTCCCTTTCTTTGGTTATAGTTTTTCATTCCTTTGACTGAACTTTGACATGAACTTCAATTAAAAAGTACAATTATACACACAACATATCTAAAACTAAACGCTTAATCTAACATTCCAAACTGATTATACCTATTGATGGCCACTGTAGAGAAATGTATTTTTGTTAAAAAAAAAAAGTGGCAGAAGGTGAGTGGCAGTACCCAACCACTGTAACTTACCAAATTTTTGTTATTCTTGATATAAAAAGCTCACTAAGTTATATCTACAAAAGACAAACAATTTAAGAAAACATTCTAGATTATATAAGGAATAAAGTGAAATCATAGCTTCTATCCCAGCCTAGAAATATGTAAAAAAAAAAAAAAAAAAAGGAATTCAATCTACTGTGCATTCCTAAGGACTACTAACATTTTATGTTGTCTTAGGGCTTCTTTTATATGTTTAAAGATGTATTTATTCATGAATACAGAACTGGGATACAGGCCAGAAGTGTAAGGACAGTGAGAGGATTCACCAGAGACAGAGTGGGGAGCAGAAAAGGCAGATCAACAATGTACAATGCTGAGGGGAGTGTGAAAGAAAATACTTTTCAATATCTAAATATGTAACTATTTTTAATATAAATTCTGCTAATCTTGAAAAATAGATTTTCATCACAAGTCTTTTCCTCCCCTTCCCTTTCTTACTTTTAAATAAATTACATTATCTGGCTACAATGAAAAAAAACGAGTGACTACATTATCAACTGAACAGTAAATATGTGTTGATATACAACCTGCTACTTGCCTCATATTGTGGTATGCAAAATTCATTACTTTTTTTGGTTAAGGAAACATGAGACTTATAAAGGTTAAAGTGCATTATTACAAGAAGGAACATCTTATTAGTCATAGTCAATTTTGAACACAAATATACCCAGATCCAAGCATGTGACCTGTTCTCTTTACACACAACTTACATACTTACATCTCACTATTACTAACTCAATGACATTGTGCCCTAAACAGTATCTACTACCGTCACCCCAATCTTTTCCTTTAGTATTCTGTCAGCTAAAAGTAGCTATTTATATGTACATATAAATATAATCATATAAATAATATCCTTTTCCATATATGATATAGAAATCTAGAATTCATCTTTATCTCTTCATGTTCTGCAGTTAATTCTTTATTTTTGACTCCACTAATAGTAACTATCAGTTATGAATTTTACCTATAAAATAGCTCTTTTGTTTCTCCTCTCGTTAGCTGTTTTCTCTCCCCTCTAGTCCTCTCCCTTAAATTCCTAATGTCATTATCATCATTAATATGACACATTTAAAACTATAAGCAACTATACTTAGCTCTCACTTATATATTTTCCTTTACCATTAGTAAAAAGCTCACATTTTCTTGCCTGACATGTAGAGTTCTTAAAGCATTTGGTCCAACCCTAGCTTCTCATTATATTCTTCACAATTTCCTGGGTCAGCTTGACCTATTCCTTATTCTAGCCACGAGATTTGTTTTACTACACCTTATAATTTAATGCATAAATAGCCTTTCCATGCACTCTTCTTAAAGTATCTTTTTCCATCTGCTTATAGCCGACTTATTCTTTAAGATACATTTGAATTACTTCTTAACTTTGCCCACCCCTTAAGACAAAGTAAGCCCTTCTTACAGAGAATAAAATGCCAACATCATTGTAATTGTTAAAAATACAGTAATGTGACAATATTATAAAATAGCAAACCCATAGATTGGTTAACCAATTTCTCCATTTTATATACTTCTACTATACTTCCATTTTTTACAAGATTAAACATAAAAATCGTAAAGAAGCTTCAAATTAACTAACTAATCTTGTCTTATATCTTTATGTTACAAGAAACTAGCTAAGAAAATATCATTGTAATTGGCTGGTAATCCACTTTTTTTTCCTTTATTTTAAGGATCAACTTTCCTCTTGAATTAAAGTCACTTCCAAGGGAATCCATGCTGACAATAAAACTGTTTGGAATTATCTGTGCAACCAACAATGCAGATTTATTGGCCTGGACCTGTTTCCCATTGTTTCCAAAGGAGTAAGTATATCATTTGTGATTAATAAAGCTCAAACATCAATAAAAACCTTCTTGCCACTAAATATTTTGCAGCATATATCATAATGAGAAAATCTGAAGTTGAGATTGCTCAATATAACTCAGGACTACTAAAAGCAAGACTAAAAAGTAACATGTAGAATTGATTGTAGGAATAGACCTCATGCTCTGCTTGTCAACTGGGTCATTTACAATGAAAAGGTATTGCCATGTGCAATTTCAATTGCTTTTTCTTCTCTGGCCAGCAACTTCTCTGGAATTAGTGATTCAGAGTGATTTAGATCAATGCTATCATTTAGAAACAATATCATGGAATTCTGGCTGAAGTAAAATTATACAATGTAACTGATTTACTGACAATTCATTGGCAAAAAGAAATATTTGGTAACTTTAAAATGATATTTTTCAGAAAAATAAGCCACATATGGGTTCAAATATTTCTATTAGAACTAATAACCATAATAAAATTAAGTATTCATTTCACCATAAATATTTATAGCTATTAATACTTAAAATATTTGATAGTCATTTCTATATTACTGAGGAAAAGTTAGTTGAAATTAAATATGCTTAATTATTTTTCATCTGAAAAGAATTTCTTTAGAATCAAATTGTGAAATAGAGGACCTTCAAAAATTTACAACCTATTTGTCATTTTAGTATTGTTACACCAACATAAATAAATAAACAAACAACTACCTAGAAATCTGACTCCATCATTGAAGATGCCAGAGGGGAAGGTGACATATGAAGGCGAAGGGGACAAGAAACAAAGGACTATATTGGTGCTTTGCTGGAGAGCACTGGGTGGTGGCATCTGAAGAGGCAGGAACCTATTCATTTAACTCATACACAGTGGTGTAAACCAGTTACTGCAACAAAAATAAGAATTAAAATAATGTTGTTATTATTATAAGGAATGTTTCTGCCCTTGCTATTTTTAAGAAATATAGTGATATAAAAATGTTAAGAAAATTCATCAATTTTTTGCTCCTACACTTACTTGTAAATTATCATCAGAGCAGTCATTTTTAATCTTTGTTGAATTTCTTCTGATATGGGGTGTATGTGTATTGTTCTATTATTTGTTTCCACATGCATGTTTCTTGAGGAAAGGAAATGGTTTTATCCTGGTATTACCTGTTATTGAAGTAGTGCATCTGATATGAATAGAGGCTATAAGTAGAGGTTTGTTTACTAAAATGAATCAGAAAACTATCAATCCCTCTAGGAAACTTAGAACGAAATAAAATTTCCAAAGTCTATAAGAAACAGTTTAGTTTTTAAAGGAATACCTACTGCTGTTAGCAGATATTTCAAAAATTTGATTTGTGGTTAAAGAATTTTCATTACTCACTCACTAGGAGCAGCTAGGCAGGTATCTTTCCTTCCTTCTTAAAGCTTAAACTGAGTATTTGTAAGATCTCACATATTTGCAGAATATTTCTAGCTTTGCATTGGAAAAAAAAATGCTGTTTATTCCCTCTGATCATATAACATAACAGGCAATCAATAAATGATAAATATGTAAGGAGTTCATAATATTTTTATTTCTCAAACTAATCTTCAAGGCTTTTTATAGATGGTTACAATAGTAAAAATACTGCTTCCATGTTGTTATGTCATCTGTCACTTACCAACATTTCACATGTGAGTGATTACAAAAGTCATCATCTTTAAGCAATGCCATCTGGGAAGACACTGGGTCATGTTTTCCTAAGGGAAATTGTCAAAACCGTGAATGATGAAACATCAGAAAACACATCTTACTCCAAAGAACATTTTGATAAGTGTTGGTATGATAGTCCACAGATAGGAATTTGTAAATATATGTTTAAAGGACTCTTTAAAATCAGAAAATCTGCCTCTCCTGGACTAGAATTGTTAAAAAAAAAAATACAGATCCTTTTACAATCCAGAAATCTATCATGTGGTGAAATTGGGAAGCTGCAATGACTCCCACTGTATTCATTGCTCCATGTAACAGATTCTGATCCAATTTATTTGATGGAGATATTTCCAGATCCCAGCAAATAGACCACTTAACTTCATTTCCTTCCTGCCCATAAACACTTGGCATTGAATCTATCCACTTATTACAGGCAGAATGGCTCTCGCCTAGCTATGTAGCATTATAATGAGCACTTTTATCTATTTTTTTCCCAACATACATATACCTAAATATAGGTGGAATCAAAAGCTTCTTATCTTTTCATGGTTTTCAGGAGTGGGTTTGGGAAGAACCAGTGGTGATTAAACTCTGAAACATCATTTTAAAATGCATCAAAAATGTCCATGTCCACAAATAAAACTCTACTGTGAGATTTTCAAGAACACAAACCCCTTTAATCCTATAAAGACCTCACAAATACAATAATGAAAATGTGTGTCCGACAGGAGTTTTACTATCCTCTCTTTTGCAGACAGGATCTCTACTACATCTGTTTTCACATTGCCTCCACATACACCAAGAAAATGTTATTCTCACTCAATCAGTTCTATGAGCTACCTTCCCTGGAGTTCAAATCAGAGTGTGGCAGTTCTTTAACACTTATAAATTGTGGTAACACAAAGATGGAGATTCTCAACCCTGATCAAACAATAGAATCTCCTGGGAGATTTTTTAAAATAAACTCCAAGTCTGAGTGTCCCTAAGGACTCAAATTGATAGGCAGTGAAACCCAGGCTTGAGTATTTTCAAGTCAGCTGGGGTTATTTAAAACCGAGGAGTGTTAGAATGCCTTGCAGAATTGCAAGAGGTCTCTTTTGGCCTTTTATTAAGCAAATCTTAATCTTAAAACAATACTATTCCTAGGATATTATTCCTGACCCCACTGCACCATATTTAGCTATGTTCTCAAAATCAAATAGTAAAATAAGTGTTGATAAAAATTCCTTGTTCTTCCTTCCTGTCCACGGGAGACCTCCAAAGCTGAATGAACCCAAATCCTCATTTATAAAGATCTCTGGTGAAGGAAGGCCAAGTGACTTGATCTTAGTCACAGGCTACTTTAGTATCAAACAAAACCACCATACATCTGACTTCCCTTCACATATGTTACTACCTCAAGCTGCCTCCTTCCTGCTTTTCCTGTCAGACCTTTCTCCATGAAGGCACTGGGAAAACCTAGCCACTAATGGAAGCTTCTGCCTCTGCCCAGCCTGGGCCCTGCTCTTGGGTATGAAATTTCTTAGACCTGTGAGAGGAGAAGTCCTAAAGTGTTTTATGACATAAACCATTGATTGTGCTGGCTGCCCAGTTCTGGAGCCTTTTGTACTTTTGGTTCCAAAATATTCACCAATGGACGCATAGAATTCTGTAGCTAAAAATTTATAATACTTAATTTCATTCAAACCCCTTATTTTATTACTTAAGGAAACAGAGATCCAAAAACCTACTTGTTCTCCTAGTGCTTAAGATTTTTTCCCCCTAATTATAGAAACTTGTACAGTATTGAAATTAAAAAGATTCTTGGGGATATTCTGGAACAAATGTTTTGAAATATTATAGTAAGCAGTGTAGTCTTTTTTTCAGTCCTGCTTATATGTTGTGGGGATGACATTTGAGGTGCTAAAGTCCAACTGAATGCTATAATCTCACCTTTTACTCCAAAATCTACACTCAACCACTAAGCCATGTTAAAAGAAAATAAAATTCTTTTTTGACTCCTGATTTCATCCAAGAATTCAAAGATGAGCTAATTAGGGCTAGTTAATGGAGAGAGTATAGATGTCCTTCTATAAGTCTGATGTTTCTCCCAATATATAAAACTACTTCCTGTATCCCCGCCTTCACTGTGTGTTTCTTCATTTTCTTGAATTTAGCTGAGTTAATAAACCTTTTCACAGTAGGAATAAAAATACTACCGGTGTTCCCCACCTGGCTGGATATTAAAATCTGTCATTCACATCTCTGAGACCACCAACATTGCTACCTACATTTTTGACATCTTAATTTTGTTAATCTTTCCCATCATCATGTATTCTATTTAAAGAAGTCTTTGAAATTTTATTTCCCCATCATACTTGCTATATCTAAAAAGATGTTTAGGTATAGTCCATTATCAGAAGTTAAATTAGCTAACATCAAACAAGAAAACCCACAGGATAATGATGCTCCTTGAATTACACTGAAATGTTCCAAATCCATTTGGAAAGCTAGAAGTTCATTCTCCTTAGTCTCTATAGCTGTATCCTTCCTACACATACTTGAGTAAGTGTTCAGACTACTTTCTGCCCCATGGGCCTCAGGGTGATAGTGGATCCAAAATCCTCCAAGGAAAAAACTGACAAATACTAATAAATTCTTGAGTCATCTTATCCTTTCTAGGAATCAGATTAAATTCAGATTTTCATAGTGAAGCATGGCTAAGGGATATAAAAATAACAAGTCCATAAATAGAACTCATTATATAGCTTAGATATAAAGAAAGTGCCATTAATATCTCACACATTTTCTCATGCACTCCTACCTTATACCAAGGAGGAGGAAAAAAACTTTGTCCATCAATAACAACAAAAAAGGTACTTCAAAATTATGTAATCCTTTTGAAAGTATCCAGTTTATATTGACTAAAATGTTCATTCAGCATTCTAGCAGCCTAATTCTCTTCCTTTGAGAGTACATGAATAGATATGATAAAAAAATAAATAAACATGTCCTTGACCTAGTGACTTATGATACTCAAATCAAAGTAATTTTTTTGAAGATTCATTTATTTATGCATACAGAACTGGGGTACAGACCAGAGGTGCAAGAGCTGTGGGATTCACCAGAGACAGAGTGGGGAGCAGAATAGGCAGACTGATAAAGTGCACTGCTAAGGGGAGCAGCAGGCAGGTCAGGAAAGGTCTGCCACACCATGTGGGTCACCTCTGGGGCTGGGGATTGAACTCATGCTGAAGTGACTTTAGCTTCTTTGTGCTGTGCTTTAATCTACTCCGCCACCAGGTAGGGCCCATCAAAGTAATTTTTAAGATAACAGCTTCTTGTTATAGTTGTTTGCCTGTGAGTGGCTCCCCCAGCTTGACCAGGGTTTACTGGATCTTCCTGAGCAGCTTGAGATCTCCTAGTACTACAAACCCTGGGGTCTACCTGAGGGTTACTCTCACTAGACATTCTCCATCCAGCATGCCACAAGCTCCTTCCTCCCTCCTACTAACTGTTTGCTGTGGCTGGCATTTATATTTCTATAAATATTATGAAGAATCTTGACATATGAACTCTCTAAGGTTGGTGTTGAAATACCCCTTCTTTCTCTTGAGTTCTACCTGAAAATCCCAAACTTTCCCCAGGTGGGTGGGTGCTTCAGACCATTTGGAGAAGGCTATATTATATACTTTGAGAGGCTAAAGCAGAAATCACATTAATAATTTTATAATATTTATCCTGATTAACCTAACCTTACCTAACTTTCTCCAGGGAGGGAGAGATGAAAAAGGAATGAAGAAGGCTCAAGTTTAATGCCACTAAAATAATTTTCTTGGGTCATATAAAAATAAATGCTTAATACTGTTTATAATCCATACTCCCTTAGGTAGATACTATCAAACCAAATAGAGAATATTGAAATAAAGATGGAATAGGAACATAGAGATGGTAAGTAAAGGTGGCAGGTCTCAGAAAACTTAAGTTTGAAGTAAGCTTCATATTTTGGATTTTTTTCCTTCATATTTGCATAATGTATGTTAAATAGGAATATGGAATTCTATGTTGTTTTCAAAAAGGTTGAATTGCTGCTTTAAAGTCCTTATAAAATTAAATTTAATTTTTCTGACTTTCAGTTCTACATTTTTAATTTGGCATATCAAAATCATAGACTGTTCTTAAGTGATCAATGGAGTGTTTTAACATGTTCTAATTCATACATATCACCAGGTATAGTTGCTCATTTTAATTCCCAGGTGGATTTATGTTTCTGAAGATGTCAAAACCATCCATGCATTCTTCATGTTCAAAGTTATTCACAATGGTAATTTATAGCATATTTTAAAACATTCAGAATATGAATAATCTTTCAAGTTTTGAATGAGAGCACTTCCTCCATGAAGTCCCATAACTGTTTTGATTCTGCAGATCAGATGCCAGTTCACATCTTTTCTTTCCATATATTTAGACTTGATATCTTTAAAGGTCCCCAGGGACATTAGTCACTCATGAAGTGAAAAAAAATAGTCTAAAGAGTTAAACAACTTTACTCATTTGAGTGATAACTCCAAGAATATAAATCTGAGAGCCTTAGCTCCATCATGTAATCACCAGTTGGAAATTAAGAAATGCTCCTTGTTCGGAAACCATTATAGAAAAAAATGTATCATATGGAAAATAAATGTAAATAAATGTAGGTATAGATGTACAAAGCTATGCATGTGTAATATTAGAAATGAGCTACTAATCAGTTAATAATCATCATTAATAATTGTTCATAGGTTATGAACTATTACATGTCTCTTCAGGCTATACATTCAAAGAAAATATTTTTAGTTAATAACAGTTTCCCTCATGATGGTTGACTCCTGTCTTTATGTATTTGTTTTCTCTTGCAGCAAATCTATCCTTGGGTCAATGCTATTCAGCATGACATTTCTGAGTGAGCCCCCCAGTGAAATAATAGCTCCAGGCGTGTGGGATGTAAGTCAGCCATCCCCAGTGACCCTGCAGGTAAGTGCCAGGCTATGAGCACAAAAAATAGCAAGTATTGACCAATAAGTGGCTTATGGTTAATTACAGAAAATGTGTTGTTCTGGAATCACACACTTACATATATGTGTGTATGTTAGAGGTTTCAGAATGAAATTGTTAAATATTTTCAAATAAATAAGTTCCACAATGAGTTCAAGCTGTATAACTCAAAGTCTGATTTATAATATACCTCAATATTCTCTGAGATCCTGATCTAAACTAGGTAAAGTAAAATTAATTCTGTTGACTGTCTAATGAAGATTAAAAAATATGCATGATACCTATAAGCAAATATACAAAGCACTAAAATACCTAGCTCATTTACATACCTTGAAACTGCATTTTTGTGAATTGTTAGTTGCTTAAATCAAATTATCAGAGAAACATGGTATAATGGAAAGAACTTTGAGTCAGGAATAAAAGAGGCCTGTAGTCTAGTCCTATGAATTTGAGCTACGGAGTGAAAGCAAAAATATCCTGTTTATATACGTGACAGATGCTGTCATATCTACTATATGGCTCTTGCACATACAGATTTCATGAGGTAGAAACAATGTTCTTATTTTCCCAAGTCGTTACATGAAAAAGGTATAATTCTCATCTAACATTTTCATCATTTCAAAATAGAATTGTTTAATACTAGAATCTAGAAAGGATATGATTTCAGCATTAAACAAAAAATGCAATACATTAACTTTTATGACAAAAATGTGTATATTATTTTCTCATATTTCCTCTGAATTACAGGTTACTGATTTATTCTATTCATATACATAATTGAGGATTTATCAAAAAAATTTAAATACCAAGCCCAAAGCTTGATTCTTTAAAAATTATTTTAAGACTCATAAATAGTACAAAAAAATTAGAAATTTTCATTTAATAGCTACCAATTTTAATAATGTATTTCAAGATATTCAAAATATGGACAATCACTTTATTTCAGATTGATTTTCCAACAACTGAGTGGGAATATGTTAACCTTGATTCTGAAGAAAATAAAAACAATATGGAAGAACCACCAAAAGAGTGTTTAAAACATATTGCCAAACTTTCACAGAAACAGTCTCCAATATTGTAAGTCACCCAGGTTTTGTGAGTGAATTTTGCCAACTGTTCATGACATCAGCATTCAACCATGAAGTGTTCATATCTTTCAAGAATGAAACTTCCTTTCCATATTACTGATTTCATGTCCTAACCTTGAACATTTTATATGTATAATGAATTAATGCTCAGGAGCTAAAATATTGGAGGAGCTATCGTATGTGTTTTGAAGAATATTTTCCTTTGATATCTAGCAACTACTTGACTTCCTTCAGAGGTAAAATTCAGCGCTTAAAAATCATTCTATTCAGGCCCTCCTAAGAAGCTAAAGTCACTTCAGCATGAGTTCGATCCCCGCCTGCCCCAAAGGTGATCCATGTGGCGTGGTAGACCTCTCCTGACCCTCCCACTGCTCCCCTCAGGAGTGTATTGCATCAGTCTGCCTATTCTGCTCCCTACTCTGTCTCTGGTGAAGCCTCTCACCTGCCTTGCACCTCTGGCCTGTACCCCAGTTCTGTATGCATAAATAAATAAATCTTTAAAAAAATCATTCTATTCAAACAACAGTGTAGAGAATAGTTAGATATCTATCAGCATTTAACAGTAATAGATCATTTGGTTAAACATCTTTAAATATGTAAATTACTTTAGTAGACAGGAAAAAACCCAAAAAAATTATCATTACTAATTTAAAACAGTATAAATCAATTTTAATAGCACCAAATTAGTGACTAAGGACTACTTAAACTTTGTCAAATATTAATTTTCTTAGTAAAACCAAGAATAAGAGTTTTAGTGGCATCTATACTTACTTCAAAGCAACATCTATGCCAGAGCTAATTGTTCTCATTAATAAAAAACCAAAGACATAAAACTAAGATATTAACTCTTTATATGTGCATGTACATATATAGTAATAAAATATATAAAACACTTTACTCCAAGAAAAATAAATCATTTCAAGGTTTCCAACAGGGGAGTTATTATGTAATCTGAGTATCTTTCTGAATGATCTATGACCACAAGTGAAGTAAGGATTAGAGAGAGAGAATAAGAATGCAAAGCAACCCAGCAAAGAGGTTACTGTCTTAGGCCAGAGTTGTCCTGACTAGAGCTACAATACAGCAGGGTTATTGGTAGAAATTGCCAGAAATGGAAAATGGCTATTTTGCAAGTTGAGAAACATGACTTGGTGATTAATAATTAGGTGGTAAACACCTGAGAAACTAATTAGTCAAATTACGTCAAGAGAGAATCCAAGGTCCAGAATCCAGGTGATCAACTGGACAGACATAAAATCATTTTCTGGAAGAGGGCTTAAATTTGGACCAACTCCAACTGAGGTATTGAGTGTGATCAAAAGATGGTTTGGGATAAACTTGTTACTAACCTGTTCTCTAATTTCAACTCACAATTTCCTTCTTTCACTTTCAGCAATTGGCATCTGTCTTCTCCCTATACTTCAAATGTTTTTGAATCTCTCCCACGCGAAAGTCTTTTTATTTGATGCTCTCTCTACCTTAAATTCTCATAGGTTTTCACCTACTTATAATTTCTGAAAGAGGCTTTCTTATCTGAAATAGGTCACCTTATCTGATGAAATTTCTTTTTTTGCTCTCTATCTTTGTGATATCACACTCAGTACAATCTATTATTATCTTGTCTATTAATGTGTTTTGTCCTTGTCCTTATTAAATTATAAGAACTAGAAAATTAAAGAACCTATATATCTTGTTTATCAGTACAGGTACAGTGATAAACAATATGCTGTGCCTGAAAATAACATATGTAAAATAATATAATGAATAAAGTTCTTTCATATAATATCTGATATGAAAAGTCATCTTAAAGGTTGAAGATGATAGAAGATTCTCATAGCTCCCAAGACACATATCTTTGATGATTCATCTTACTCGATATTATCATCTTAATTAGATAAAGCATCTTTTTTGTTAATTACTCAAATTTGACATATTTGACAAATATGTCACATGCTATTGAATAATGCATTTATAATGGGGTGTTTTTTACTATGGAAAAAATGCCATGCTTTGAAAATTTAACTATTTTATACTTCAGTTCTATTTAAGTGAATAATTTACACATAAAACAAAATTTTCTAACTGTTTCACCTACTCAAATGCAATCATTAATGCTCAGTAGAGTACAGTTTCATTCTGGACTGTAAAAAATGATAGAGAACAACCTTCAGGGTGATTAAAATTGTATTAGAATCAAATTAACTTCAGTGTCAAAAACACTAAATTTTATCATTGAGTTGGTAACTTAATCTTTCTTTCACATAGATAAAATGTAATAATCAAAGTCAGGAAGTTCATATTCAATGAAATTCAATGAAGACATAATATTTTTAAATATTTTTTAAATTCTTGATAGCAGCAATAAGAGTATTTCTAGATATAAAGATCCCAGAATAATCCTCCTAACTTAAGAAAATATAATACAAAAAAAACAAAACAAACAAACAAACAAAAAAACATGAAGCAACAGCTTTGAGAAACTGGACAAGACTATGAGTGAATCCATTAATAAGTGGCTTTTAGCCCAGAGGCACTTACTACATCAGACGTCTGAGCAATAAAATCAGAGTAGCCAGAGTATCCAGACCTTGTTGAGAGTGAAAGAAAAAAAAAGCAGAGATCAGAGTTTAATGTTGAGGCAGCTGGTATTTATAAAGTATAATACTGAAGAGAAGGAAAGCATATAATATAAGAACTACAGAAATATATATATTTAATCCCCTTAATATTAAATTGAGTATTAAGCTAATCATGAACAGGTAGATATTGTGTGAGTCTGGCAAAAGAACCATTACATGTAGATGTGAAATAAATCTAGATTCCAGAGGTTGCAAAATGCTGGTAGAAAAAGAAAATCTGATCCAGACGAAAAAAGGATCACAGAAAAGAGACCAGAAGGATGCTTATTAGGAAGAAGGGCACTCTAGCCCAAGATCAAGGACTATGCTAGGTATAACTTAACAAATAGTATAAACAGATCTCAAAAGGATTAAATTGATCTGCTAGTACTTAAAAACTATTAAAACAAAGATATTCAATATCAAAAGTATAGCAAAATGCAGACTTTCAGTAGGTCATTTTAGATGCTACATTTTAAATGTAGAATTTTAAATGTTTAGTGTCTAATCTATAATTGCTAGACTTGTGAAGTCAAGAATAACTGATGACCAGTATTGGGATGGAGGTAGAAAGAGAAGTTAACAAAAAAAGATCCAAAGATTTTTAAACTGGTAGGCAATGATTTCAACTATTACAGATATCTTTAGGAATATAAGAAAAAATATGACTTCTCAGTAAATAAACAAAAATTTTAGAATAAAAACAATATCTAAATCTTTCTTAAAGTCACTTTTTTAAAAAATTTTAATCAACTGCATAATTAAGAAAGAACAACAGAAATTAGCAATGCTTTTAAACTATGGAAAATAAAAAAAAAACATGAAAGTAGTGATAGAAAAATATTCTGAGACCTGTGGAATAAGATCAAGTAATGTAACCTACACATACACACACATATATATAAATACACACACACACCCACAGAGGCACAGAGGAGAGCATCAAAATTTACAAATTTGATTTACAAATCAATACAAGTATATAAGAAATTAGGCAAGCTATGCATTTGTACACACAACTAAACACATTATAGTCCAATTCCTAAAATGCTGGTGTTAAAATCTGAAATGCTTCAGAGAAAATGAACAGATTGCACACTTGGGAAATATTGTTCTAATGACTGTAAATTTTTAATCAGAAACAATAAAAGTCAATTATTAGGACATTACTTTGCTATTTGAAGGGAAATGAAATGTCAGCATAGATTTCTATAACCAGCAAAATTATATTTCAAAATTGAGGCAAAATGGAGAGATTTTTAATTATAAAGAGTTTATTAGTTTAGCTATTTTTTTTCTTTTTTCTCTTATTTTTTTTTTACATCATTATTCATTTTGTGCATTTTATCATCTCAGTTGTAATCTCCATGGACTTCCCACCACCAACTCCCCCATGTGCCATCACCATAGTCCCGTGTGCTCTTCCCATCCCAGTTGATGGAGAGATTTTAGCGAAAGACCATTGAGTTAGTTTATTATCAGCTCTTCAGTTTACTATAAGAATTATTATAGAGGCCCTCCCTGGTGGCGCAGTGGGTTAAAAGCACAGCACTAAGAAGCTTAAGCCACTTCCACATGAGTTCGATTCCCGCCTGCCCCGGAGGTGACCACATGGCGTGGCAGACCTCTCCTGACCCGCCCGCTGCTCCCCTCAGCAGTGCACCTTGTTTATCTGTCTGTTCTGCTCCCCATTCTGTCCCTGGTGAATATTCTCACCCTCTGCATCTCTGGCCTGTACCCCAGTTCTGTATGAATAAATAAATAAATCTTTTAAAAAAATTATTATAGGAAGTGTTTCAAGCAAAATGACACCAGATGGAAAATCAAATCTACTATAAATAAATAGTATCCACAAGGAAAAAATTAGATAATAAAAGCACGTGTTCATTTTAAATTTCTTTTAAAAACAGTTAACTATTAAAGCAAAAATGATCACAATAAACAGTTGTGTTTATAATACATAAATGAAATATAAAACAACAAAAACAATGAGAAATAGCAGTACAAGTTAAAGTCCCATTAATATACTGGTTTATGCCAACCAGTATAATAATGATTCATGTTGACTGATATTCTAAAAAGTTTAATGATTCATGTTGACTGATATTCTAAAAAGTTTAGTGTAATCTCTAGAGAAACCACATAACATAAATTTTTAAATTACATATATATATATATTTTACATCATTGCTCATTTTAAAATAATATTTGCTATTTATTTTCCCCCTTAGGGCTAGACCCCATAGAATTTCCTTGCCCAATTTACCTGTTTGTAAGGTTATATTTCCAACAAAGTACAAGACTAAAATAAAATTTTTAAAAATCCAAAATAAATAATTGACCAAGAAATTATATGGACATAATAAAAGCA